GGCGCATGCTTCATGTATTACAACCATATAATCAAGTTTCAGGAGGAGGCGCCGTATGGGAAGTGCGCAGTTCGCCGGGGTCCTGACTACAGTCAGTCTTGCATCTGCGAAAACTGGGACGGGTGTTCGTTGACCAACTGGGGTGAATGGAGCGCCTATGACTCAGTGTGTGGCGTCGCCTCTCGCATAAGGTACAAACCTCCGGTGGAGGCCCCCGATCAAACATGCGAGTCGGATGACACGCTCTGTTGCTCTGAAAAAGAGAGAGTGATGCTGTCGCCTTGTCCGTGCTTGAAGAATAATATTCGTTGCATGAACGGGGGCACGTGCATCGACGAAGGAGTCGACGACTGGCACTGTAGCTGTGTTGAGGGGTACTTTGGCGTGCTGTGCGAGAAAGCTGAAAAAGTGGTTGGTAAAATGCTTATGACAATAGCAATACCGGTTTTGATTCTTCTGGCTATCATTCTCAGCTTTATCCTATGCACTGTGTATCGAAGAAGATGGCAGTGGAGAAAGAAACTGCGAAAAAGAAAACGAGCACACGAAGGTTTAAATAAAGCGGCAAATCGGCAGTGGAATAAGATGATCAGTCATCCATTATCCGGCATCAGCCTAAGGGCAAGGCAACTGGCAAGAATTAACCGTTAGCAGCAAAACAACTGATCCAATGATAACAGCAGTATGTTTACCGTTGCCCCTCACTGCTCACATTACTATTCTAGAAATATGAATATTCTGTATGGACATTTCTCCTAAGCCAGTTGCGGCTGAGGTCTCGCCACAAACGAAGAGTTGAACGAAAAGCGACAAAAAATTGACTTCTCTTCAATCTGTTTAAGAATGTTCCAGTCCTTGGTTGTTGTGATGAGTGTTTTTTCTTGAAATGTGAAAGATCGTGAAGAATTGCTTCAAACAGCGAGCTGTCTCTGCAGTTTTGTGACGCTACGCAACGAAAGAACGCCAATGGGAATTCGCATTGTTTCTAATAATTTAATAGAAATTGATGAGAATACGACGGATCTTTATAAGTACTATGCCACAAATCTGTGCTTGCAAGGGTTGGAATATCACTGAAACAACTGTGGAGGACTCCAAAGATTTAGAGACGAAGACAGTCCCTATATCGAAGTTATTGTCACGTATAAAAGATTAACAATGCGCAGTTCCATGATTTCAGAAAATTTATGTTGTTTAAGCTACCAGAGTAAATCAAACGACACTATATAATCTAAGAAATAAAGGCATTTTTTAAATCAGCTAAAAAGCCCAGTTAGGCATCAGTCCATTCTTTATGTTATCAATTTTGTTGTCTGTGGATAAAGAAATATATAGTTAGAATTCTGCAAACACATTTATTAAGTTAAGCTCTCAGAAAGTGCTTTGTCTTTAGCACAAAGTAATGGTGTTCTCAATCACACATAGGGTGATCTCTCAATCACGGATAGGAAAGAACAGTAAGTAAATAGTTAACCCATCGTAATGAAGAAATGCAGCATAAGCAAGAAAGCTAGTTGATATAAAATGATAGGCATGAAAAAGGAAAAGGGGGAAGAAAAGGAGATAAGCGAAAAAGAAAAGACATACAGTAATACCCTGACTTACGCGAACTCAGAATCACGCGGTTCTCTTTCATTTGGCAACACTGTCGCCCCATATCTTCAATGTTTCTCTTGCTGTGATGTGCATTGGACGCGTTTCGCGCGAACTCTAAGTGGACGATTGCGATTCTACGATCGGCCACAGTTAAGATTGTTTTGTTATACGTTTTTTGAACCCTTGAAAAAACTGTCGTCCAAACGAATTAAATCTGATTCGCCTGGACCTAGTAAGGAAAGGAAAAGCATATCTTTGGAATGTAAACCTATCATCAAGGATTTTGCTAGCAGAATGAAAATTTTTGAATTGCAAAGAAATCTGAGCTGCCAGAATCCAGAGTAAGAACAACCATAAAAGATGAACAAAGAATTCTCGATGCGGTGGAAAATGCTCAATCCTTGAACTCAAGCATAATTCGTAAATGCCATGCTATTATTGTTGAGATGGAAACAATGCTGAAATCATGGTCTGATAATCAAGTAAAAGTGAAGAATTGTCCTGTCGATCAGAACACTGTGGGCAGTCAAGCTAAGTTGATTCTTGAGAGGTTGAAAAAAGAAGCTGGGGAGGCTGGCGAAGATGACAACTTTGCCGTTGGTAACGGCTGGTTCAACCGATGTAAATCTTACTATAATTAGAACAGCATCGCGGAGGGTGGAGAGGCGACAAGCTGAAGCTGCGTCTTCTTTTCCTGAGACACTAAAGGCCATGACAGAAGAAAGTGACTGTAGCAGTGGAACAGCATTTAGCGTGGATGAGATTGGCCTGTTCTGGAAAAAGATTCCTGAAAGAACTTTTATTGGACGTAAAGTAAAAGACTTTCCAGGTTTTAAGGTTTCTAACGACCCATTGAAATTGATGGTTGACGGAAATGTAACTGTTGACTGCAAGTTAAAACCTCACTTAATTTACAGTTCCAAAAACCGAGGAGCCTTAAAAAATATATCTAAAATGAGCATACCAGTGATTTGGAGTCAAATCATAAAGCTTGGGTGGCAGCTTCCATTTTTGAGGACTGGATTAATCGCCATTTCATAGCCGAATTCGAACGATATTGCAAGTCTAAACAAATTCCATTTAAAGTGATGCTTCTTATTGACAATGTGAACAAGAACACCCTGTCACCCTGCTACCACCCTAATTGATTTTGACCCACGTGTAAAAGTTGCATTTTTGCCTCCAAACACAGCCAGCCTGATTCATCAGATGGACAATGGAGTCATCAAAACATTCAAGGCTTATGATGCATTCGCTTGCACTTTTGAATAAAGCCATGAGACAAAACAGTGAGATATCTGTTAAAGACTTTTGGAAACAATACAATGTTTTAGATGCCGTAAGAACCATTGGAAAATTTTGAGATGAAATTTCCAAAAAATCATTGAATGAAGTCTGGAAGAATTTTTGTCCATTTTTTTTTTCAAAAACGAGAAGGAACCAATGCCAGAAACTGATCCTGTCGATAATGTGGTAGAAGTAATAGATATTGGCTGGAAATCAGATTTGGAAGTCAAAGGTGCCGATGCCACCGAGCTGTTTGATTCACATAGTAAGGAGCTGTCAATTGATGAGTTCATAGAGATGCGTGAGCAAGATGTCACTGATGTATCCGACACTTCAAACCCAGTTCCACCAGAAAAACACATGACAATTGCATGCTTGACAGATGTTCTCAGCTAGACCTAAAAGGGCTTTAAAATTTTAGAAAACATAGACTCCAACGAAGAACGCGTTATAGCTACAAAGCAATGAATAAAAAATTTTTAGCTTGCTACAACGAAATTCTGCGCGGAAAAAAGAAGGCCTTCTGTCGTCAGACGAATTTGTTAGATTTTATGAAGCCATCGATATCGAAATAACTTTTATACGTAACTCATTTTTTAATAATCTGTAGTAATATGCATAAAGAACTGCAATTTTATGAAATATTTTTTTCTAAACTAGTGTTTTCGTTAGTCCTTGGTCCAAGTTAAACCTAGTTTATTCCTACTTAAATGTATTATTATGAAAATTTGTGCCCCGACTTACGATTTGTGTTGGACCCACCTATCGCGTAACTAAAGGGTATTACTGTATATAGAAGAAAAGTAGGCTACTTAATCAAAAATACTGAGGACTGATATTTCTTTGGGAGGCAAAACACGACAGGGGTCGAAGGGGAGACCAGCATGCAACATAAGATAAAGATAGAAGCAAATACGCTTACAGAGAAGAATATTTCCTTTACCATACAGTAAGTGATTTCTTTTAACGAAAGTGCTGAAATGCCGGTAATTCAGCGAATAAGCCAGAAACTTCCTGCAGGCGGCTCGTGATGGTGATCTGAATCTTAATAAATCAGAACAAACGCGTGTTATAGCTGCGCAGGACGCTTTAACTGCTATCACAGTCAAATGCCTGATGAAAAAACAACAGCAATTTGCTGTTGTCTGTGGGCGGCAAAAATAACGCTTAAGAATTAATTCATCCGATACATGAGTATGTGAGGTGCAGACAATGGGCAGTGAGACTTAAAGCTAATCTTCACTTTCGGTGTCTGGTATTAGCAATTCCTTATACGTACAGCATGCTGTTCTGGTGTGGTCATGGTAGAGAATGGGAGACATACTGTAACGTTGACTGAGGCACGCGCTTTGCAACGGTAATTTCTCTTGGCGCATTTGCTTGGCAGCTAATGACGAACACTGGATGTAGTTGACAAATGAAATAAATGAATCTACTGATGGCTTTCATAGTATGGCTAAACTGGAGAATGGTGCCAGAAGAAAAGCAGTCGGTGGTGCAATTGACTTACCTGACACTTGGCGCTGTAAAAACAACAATGCACAGATTCTGTGTACTGTGAGATACGATTACCGCTTTTGAATTATGGTTCTGCTGGTATGTTGCTTCCATCATCTTCAATGAAAGAATCCGTTCTCAACTGTAAAGAAACTTGTTTAACATTTACCTTGATTTAAAGCTAAAGTACTGCGGAAAGGATACGGCGCTAGAGAGGTCATTTGATTTAAACC